CCGAGCCCCCCGAGGACCCCGCCGCCACCCGGGCGCCCCTCGAAGGCTGCGATCGCGGGTGGGAAGGCGGAGGTAGGGCGCACGCAGCGCCCGTTCAGGGGATCGGGACAACTCCTTTTTCATTTTAACTGGGCGCATCCCCCAAAGCGAATTTGTAGACTGCTGTCGCCACCAGTGTCCACGGACCCTGTCGCGTCCCTGCCTAGAATGGGTGTCGCGCTCACTTTGCTCGAACCATTCATAACTTTCGGGAAGGGAGCCTGCTCTCCTGCAGCTCGCGCGGGGAGAGAAAACTTCTGGGGGAGGACGTGCCGGGCCTGCCCCCGCGCGGTCGCCCTGTGAGGGTGTAGGGGTTGTGTACAAACAAGTGGCTGCTCCGGGGGAGGAAGTAGGAAGAGAGGTCCCCGGCGCCCACGTGCCACGGCGCTTTCATGGCTGCTCCAAGTGGAAACCGGGCACTGCGAGCCTGCTGGAGCTGGACAGACCTCACACGATTCGCTTCCTCCCATCCGCTTTTCCTCCCCTCCCCCTGCGGTCTCTGGGACACAGTTTATGTTTCCTGGGGCGGCTGCAACTTCGCCTGGATACACTGTCTATAATGAGTCTCGGTCCTGTCGGAGGCTGGCCCGGAGTCTGGCTTGAAGCGCAGGCTGCGCCCTGGGTCTGAGCGGGGTAAAGGATCCGGTCGCTCGCTCGACCAGGAAGCCAGCCGCTGGGATGACGGGATTGAACCCTACTACTGCCAAAACAATCACTTTCAAGTAGGAGCCAGCTTTTCTTTTGCTTTTAAAACCGAACTGTATATATTAGCAAGGACTTTTTCCAATAAACAAGCATGAGTCTCACTCACATAATTTTTAAAACCAACAGCATTGTGGATTAGAGGATAGGAGGACGTGATTCAGATGCCTAGGCCCTTCCCTTTGCTTGTCAGATAACCAGCTCCGGGAAGCCTGGTTTTCAGCCCAAAAACTGCTCAGCAGTTCAGTGACTGAGTCTTTGGCCTGAGTCCTGTTCTCGGAATAGACCCAGCACTTAGATTTGTACAGAAATACATGAAAATGGGAATCTGGGTTTCACAAGACTGCAGAAATTAGTACAAGTGCTTTCTGTGGAGAAATCTCCCATCTTACTTGAAAAACTAGCTCTCCAACAAGTTAAGATTGTCGTTCGTTAGGACACACTTTGGTGTGTCAAGTCGTGAGTGGAAAAACTTGAGCCAGCGGTTAGCTGACACCAAGCAAGTTTTGTTTTTATGTTAAATACCTCTCTGTAGCAGGAAAACAAATCCGATTTAGCATTATGTCATTTACCGGGTTGGACTTGCATGAAGTGGGTGTGTTCCTTGGGTTTTGTTTTTATTTCAGCTCTAGCCTGACCTAGAAAGGTAAACTATTGGAAGTCAAGTAAATTTTTCTGAGCCCTAACTTGGAAAGAGAAGCAGATGTACAGTGGTTTGGGTTGTGCACTTGGGTGTCAGGCAGCAAAAGTACTATTAGTTACTTAACCTCTTTCAGACTGATTTGTGACCTAGGAGTGGCGGTGGTCTCTGGCCTTAGGGTTTTGATGAATGTGTGGTATGCTGTCTTTGAGGAACACTTGTGAGAGGATCTAACCCATAGCAAATGTTCAGTGATTAGCCAGTTTAGTTATCTAGCTACCCAATCAGCAGGCTGTTGGATAAATTGTAAAATGGGAGCTTGAACCTTTAGAAAATGTGAGAGGGAAGCTTTAGAAAAAAGCGCTTGATTTCTGAGTGTGAGGTGTATGTGAATGTGTGTTACAGTCTGCCACCGCATATGAACAATTACGATTTGTCTTTTTGCTTTTAGTGCTGAAGGTACAGTTGCAGAGTAAAAGAACTTTTCTTTCAAGTGGTTGTGTTTATTGGTCTTGGGCGGGAAATGAAACCAGGAACTGAAGTATTTGTCTTTCACCGAGTCTGATTTTAATTAAAGTGTGAACTCTATGGCCCAGGGCCCCCAGATAAGCCCTGGAGGCTTCAGGGCCCAGTGTATGTCGTCTTCGCTGTGTTTCTGACTTCTGTGCAAGTGGTCGTTCGGTTCATTTGGGAAATCTACTTATCCAGCATTGGCTCATTGCTGAAATTTGTGCAATTTAAAAAAACACTTCCATCTTTACCACAAACCCGGCGGAGCATCCTCTCCCCCTCCCTGTCCCCTCCCCCCTTAATGTGCACCAGGCACAGAGAATCCCACTTACGGGAACCCCAGCTCACGCCACGGGTGACCTGTGAGTGTCCTAATTGTTCCACGGGGACCCAGGCCCAGGTGGGCAAGGACTTCCCATAACTACGAGGGGACAGCATCCTCCGGACCGAACAAACCCCTGAGGGTTCTCCTGGGGGACATCGCTGCCTCACAGGGCTCTGTGAGTATAGAGGGCGCTCAAGTGACTTCACCCCTGGGCCTCCTTCGGTGCTGCGAGGATTAAACGAGCTGCTCTGGGGGAACCGGGCTCCTGAGCATCGCCTGCAGTCCGTGTTCAGCAAACATTCGCATTAAATTACCTTTCCCAGCCTTGTGTCCTGAGCACAGTGCTATTCTTAAAACAGGAAAACAGCTATGTGAAGTTGTAACATTTCCCCCAAATCTAAAAAGCTTCAGTCATTTTAAAAAGCCCTGCCAGACAGCAACTAGGCAACATCGCCATCATCGCCGTGTCTGAAGGTGACATGGGTAGCGATGTTAATATATATTCAACAAACGAATTCTCCTAGGCCTCAGTTTCATGTTCCTTTCTATTAGAAACTTTAAAAAGAATCAGTAATACATGAAGCTAGTTATACATTAAATAGGAGAAAGGCAGTGTGGAACTTGCAGGTCATTATTACAATTATAATTAGCTTAAAAATATGTAACACATTTTGGAAAGTCCAGAAGGAAATGCAGAAACGGGTGGTGGGATGCATGTGGCCCGGTTCTCTCCTTTTTCAGCCCAGTGAGCGCGCGGACGTAATAATGTGCTGCCGTTACTCACGACCAATTCTAGCCTATTGACTTCCTGTGGAAGGATTGCTGGTCACGGCCCGAAAGTCCTCGAGTTCAATGCCAACACCTTGCAGTGAGCACGAGCAGTAGTTTCTAGGTCCGTTTATCTCCAGGAGAGGCCTCCGACCCTGGCGCTGTGGAAGCCATGGCTCCGGGGTCTGCGCCGTGGGCTGCGCTTGCCGGCCGAGCTCCTGGTGACCCTGACAAGCCCAGGGCGGGATCTGCGGTGGGCGGTGGTACCCCGTCCCCCCAGCCCTTTCTGAGCCCCTTCGGTTAAGTCTTGCTGTCCCTACCTAGGGCCTGGGCCTGACCCAAGGGCAAGAAGATAACCCCGCCCATCTTCCTGCCTCTTCTGCAGGAAAGCGCTCAGCCGAGGACAGCGCCACCCGTAGGAGGCCTGTGGTCCTACACCCGGAGCCCCTCAGTTTCCCTCTTTGGAAAGACAGGGCCTCGTGAGGAGGCAGCTGGCAGCCAGGGTGGGGCCGGGGCTGGGCTGAAGGTGTCTCCCAACCGAACTGCCGCTAGCTCCGCTTCCGGCCAAGTCTCTTGGAAATCATTTCTGGTGTCCCGTAAATGTTTGTTTTATTATGTCAGGTTTTATTGGGTATCATAAAAGTGCTTAGCTGTGCGTGTCTGGTTGCCATCCTGAAACAAGAAAGGTTTTTGTCTTCTTTTAATGGCGGTGCATTTCACAAGCTTACTGCGCAGTGAGCCTGGAAAGGTGCAGACTTTCTGACTTTTCTCTTCCCAGAGCGGATGAGCAGCTGCCGGGAGGAGTTTCCCGGGGTCTCGCAGAGTCAGTCAGCGGCCAGGAGCCACCTGGCTTTTCGGGTTCATTGGTTGCTATGGGGGTGACTGTCCCCTGGTTGCCCCACTGGCCAGGTCCCGCGCTAGAGCTGGCATCCCCGTGGTTGGTGGAGGAGTCTGAGTAAGCTGAGTCAGGGCGATCTCAAGCGCCCCAACCCAACTCACTCAGCCCTCGGCTCCTCTTGGGATTCTCCGACTCAGGTCCCAGGCTCACAGGGACCTTAGACTTTGTTTTGGGGAGAGAGACGCAAGAGGCTTTCTCTTTCGATGAAGACTGAAACGAACTGAAATACAGTAAGTCTTGAGTGAACTCAATCTGGGGCGGAAAGGGGACTTGGAATCCAAAAGCCGCTTGGAGTTTATTCATTACCTGGAAGTCAGGCGAACTTCGGGCACATGGGGAGGCGTCAGGGCAGCAGGCCAGGGGCCGGGCCTCTGCGTGGTCTGGCCTGGGGTGCAGCTGGCAGCACTCCCGCAGGTGTGCGAGGCCGAGACTGAAGTCTGGCTGTGTCAGAGGGATCAGCTGCTTCCAGGCTGCCTTAAATAGGGAGCAGACTTCTCACCAGTGCTCAGCAGACAGGAGGGGTGGGACTCCAGTCGGCTTGGAAAATACAGGCACCCTGGGCCAGACCCCCGTGCCGGCCACCATGCAGGGCCACCTCCATCCATCAGCGAGGCAAGGTCCACTTGTGGGGCTCTAGCTGGGACATGAACACGCGGGGGTCCAGGTCTCCCTGCGGCCACAGTAGCCCAGGCCTACAAACGTCCCCGAGGCCAAGCAGGAAAGCAGCAGGGTGTGTGGCACGATCTGTCATCTACGTGGTTGGGGGTCACACTGCTGGGAACATGGCAGTGGCACTCTCAGCTGCATGCGGATGCCCTTCCCTTCCACCCCACATTCTTGGGGGGGCCCAGGAGGCAGCTCCTGACGGAGTCCACGGGGTGCAGAGGGAGGACAGCAGGAGAGAGGGAGGGGCCTTGTGCCGATCCACAGGGAGCCCTCGGAGGCCGCCTCAGCCCACCTCTGGCCTCCTGCTCTTCCTGCTGGCAATGAGCTGCATCGGGAGAGCAGAGCCGCCCACACTGCCCGCGCCCCGGCTTGCCCCGCCGCTGGGCCAAGCTCCTGGGCTCCCATGGGAGGATCCGCTTCCCGGCCCACACCTGCCTGGCCTCCACCACTCGTCTCCTGCCCCTGTGACCCACACACACAACCTCTTCATGTAGGAGAAGGTAGGAAATATTTTTATCTGGTCCCCGCAGAATCTCACAACCACGTATCAAAGGGAAAACCCTGAACATCTCGTTCCTGTCCCACATGCCGGGAAACTTTTTTCACATCGTCTGCAAGCAGCAATTTCTTAATGCAGGCAAATAAGTGTGGATTTTGTGTGATTCTCTGCTCTTTCCTGAAAGATGGTGCTCTGTAGGTCCTGTGCTGTGTCTTGCTTTTTTAAATTACCTGGAGATCTGTCACACCACAGAGGTACGAGGTATAACAGAAAAGCACAGTGAATGTTTAGTTTTTTGAAATACAATAAAAGCTACATTGCCACAAATCCCCTTAAAATCCTCTCCCTCACTTTGCATTCACTCGTCCCACCGTCCTGGCCGCTTCCTGCAGCAGCTCTGCAGTGCTCTTTCGTGAGGGTCTTTAGTTGTGCTGTCCCGGCTGCCTCCAAGTCCTGAATGCATTCTAACTGTTCCCCTCTCCTGGTCGTTGTGACTTGGGGGAAGAACCGGAAGCCACATGGTATCAGATCTGCTGAGGAAGGTGGACGAGGACACAGCATCGTGTCTTTTCTGAGCTGCCTTTCTTCTGGGTGGTGCTCGGCAGCAGCAGTCACCGAATCTTTTATCACCCCTCAAAAAGACACTCAGGAAAGAGGACTCTAGAGCTGCTGCAGAAAGAGGCAAGAAGGAAGGGATGAGCATCCAAAGTGAAAAGATTCTGACGGGTTTCATGGCAATGAGTTTTACCGAAATACATTTTTAAAATATAAACATTCGCCGCATTCACTGACCACAGTCTGTGCCTTCCTAAGTGAGCAGGCTGTCTGGGCCCCTTCTCTCTTTGAAGAGCGCATGGCTCCCCCTCCTGCAGATGCCGGGGGCCTGTGACTGGCCCGGGTCTTGGGGTCAGGTCTGACTTTTGTCTTCTGCTCTCATACATGGTGCTGGGAGGAGTGGAGTTTGAGGAGGTGCCTGTGTGTGGCACCCCTGAGATCCCAGTGGTGGGGCTGCCACGTCCCCGGCCCTGGGGCCCAACTCCCAAAGGGCCGAGTCCCAGTGAGAATGGTGTCAGCTCCTTTGGATTTGGCCCCTCTGGGTGGAGGGAAATGGCATTATAGGGTAGCTTCAGTTTTCTAATTATGAGCAAGGAGGAGGTTGAGTCATTTGTAAACCTCTTTTCCTCATTATGTAGCTCAAGTTGGCCTTTGACTCACTGTGTATCCTAGGCTGGCCTGGAACTCACAGGAATCCTCCTGCCTCAGCCTCTCGAGGGCTGTCACACCCAATCCTGTACATGTCTTGAATGCATCTCTGCTCACCTAATTCGATGGCTCTTTGGGGCCGAGAATAGAGCGGGTGGCCAGACCATCAGGGCCAAATCAAGAGAAGCAGAAAGTTAGGTTTTCTGCCAGTTACTCATGTCTAAATTATAAATAGTTTTCTGCTAATGGTATTATTAAACTGGGGATTCTCCAAATCCCTGATCTCCTAGTCTAGGATTTCTCAGCCCTCAACTAAAGCAAGAGGGAGGGAGGTAGAATTCCAGCACATTCCTGCCGACAGTCCTGAAGAGCTCCGGAGTTTTCCCTCACCAAATCCCCACAGAAGTTACAGGCCCGAAGCTCTTGCGCTCCCTTCCTGCTGCAGGCCCTGTGCGCCCTTGGACTGTGCCGCCTGAGAGCTGCATGCTGGGTTTCCAAGGTGAAAGAGGAGACCAAAGTAGAGGTCTGGCTGAAGAAGCCAGGCAGTGCTCTGCCTTCTGGGGAGGGAATAGGCCTGGGCTGTGTCTTTCTTTTCGTTGTTTTTATTTTTTGCGTTTAGCTTGTTGTTGTTGTTGTTGGTGGTGGTGGTGGTGGTGTTCTCTTTGAGACAGGACCTTGTACGTAGTTCAAACTGGCTTTGAACTATGTGGCACAGGCTGGCCTTGAACTCCTGGCAATCTTCCTGCCTCAGCCTCCTGAGTATTGGGACTACAGGTGTACTCCCCCACACCTGGCTTTTTGGGGCACTCTGTAGATAGTTCTTGGGGTGTTATTTTAATATCAAGTTCACCTTCACCTTTTTAAGACCAAATTCCATTGAAAGAGAGAGATTATGATTTGGTGGAAAGATATGGTGGCGGTTTCTTCACTGTGGAAGTTCTTACGCGGCAGTCCTGCATCAGATGGGCCTCCGTCTTCACACACACACACACACATACACACACAAGCAAAAACAAAAAACAACCAAAGCGAAAGGAGGGCAAGAACAAACTCCCCTTTCCGAGTCCCACGTGCGCTGGGTGGGCCTGGCCTCTGATCCCAGCTCCCCTGGCCGCTGTGGGTCCCTGGTCTGGTGGAGTTTGGTTCAAGCTCTCGGGGCCTGTGCTCCCTCTGGCGGAGTGAGGCCCCCACTGAAGTGTCGCCCACACACTGATGGGCCTCACTGGTCCGCTCCTCCGGGCCCATGGGACGCTGAGCACAGCGGTCCAGCACCTTTGCAAGCCGGATCCTTGCCGGGCCAGTGGCACTGCTGTGTCTGGCTGGGCTGTGGTCCCCACTTCAGGGACCTGCTTTTGTGTCACGTGTGTCGGCTGCTCCCTGGCCTTGGCGGTGGACACTGACCCTGGGGGACTCGGGCAGCATGGGGTGGGGGTGCAGGCACAGCAGCCCTGCATCCCAACAAACCTGACACACCACCAGCTGCAGGACGGAATGGCCACCATTAAACGGCAATAAACAAAAGTTTGAGAGGGAATCAGTGCCCCATGATGTGGTCACACATCACAAACCACCCACCAGGTGGGGAGGCGCATGCCTGTGAGGCCAGCATCTGGGAGGCTGAGGCAGGACCATCACTGCAAGTTTACGGCCAGCTGGGCTCCTTAGTGAGACCCTGCTTCAAAACCAGAAAAAAATGTTTGAAAAAGCAGACATTTCGTAAGCACCACTTGCCCCCGTTGAGGAAATGGTGACAGAGAAGGTGAGGTGGAGCTGACAGGGACGGTTTCCCCTCGAGGCAGAGACACTGCCCGCCCTGCCACTCCCAGGCGCGGAACCTCGGGAGCGGCCCGTGGAGGAGGCTCCTGCCTGTGGAACCTCAGCAGCACCGCCGGCCCCACAGTTGACCCAGGCGCTTGGGCATGGCGCACAGAACGGGCCGACAGAGCCTGGCCCGGCGCATTCACATCGCCCTTGTCCGGGACTCCGCAGGCGGGGGGAGCAATAAAAAATGGGCCTCGGGTTGGACGCTACAATGTGTTGTCCCCTGAATTCAGTGGCATTTTGTCACCTTTCTGTTGCCGGTGACAGGCAGTGTGCAGGGCACTGGGGACTCCGTGTGTAGGGAGCTGGGATGGAATTAAAATAACCTACTTTGAAAGCTTCCTTCTCTCAGGGCCAGTCTGCTCACACATTACCGCTGCCCGGTGGAGGGGAAACTGAGGCTCCGTAGCTGGCTTCTGCTTCTGCCCAGGGTCCTGGGCCCAGCAGGTGGCCGAGCTAGGACCAGAACTGCAGGCCTGGAGCTCTGCTGTCTGCGGCCTGGCCCACGGGGGCTGTGTGGACAGCAGCCAGCTGTCCCTGCACGGCCGAGTGGGTGGGGTAGCGCAGGGCACACCCTGCTCCCCTGCCCTGTCTGCCCCCTCTGCCCAAGGTAATTTATGGTCACACCCGGGCAGGGCCACCGGGAGCTGCAGGCGGAGCGGTGTGGACGTCCCGGTGAGTCACTGCTGGGCAGGGAAAGGAGCCCTGTGCCCGGTCACCGGGCTGGGCGCATCTCTATCACCAGGTGGGGCCCAGGCAAGTGTGCACAGGACCTAACCACCCCTGGCTGCGCAGGCCGAGCTCCTGACCTCCCGCCTGGCCGCTCTCCGCTCCGTTCTTCCCTCCCCTCCCCTCTCCTCCCCTCCCCGCCCCTTTTCCTTCTCCTTTTCCTCCTTTCTGTTCCTCTCCGCTCCGTTCTTCCCCCCCCTCCCCTCTCCTCCCCTCCTCGCCCCTTTTCCTTCTCCTTTTCCTCCTTTTTCTGTTCCTTTTCTCCTTCCCCTTCTTGCTCATCCTCCTCGTTCCTCTTCCTCCTCCTCCTCCTCCTCCTGCTCTTCCTGTAAAAGCAAAGCCAAAGGGCTCTCTGGAAGTCGGCACACGCCTGGGCAGCGGCCTCTGCCTGTGCCTGCTGACTGTGGCCCCAGCTCCGATCTCAGGCCGCAGCAGGCCCTGGGGCTCTGGCCCGTCCTCCTCCCCATCCTCCTCCTCCTCCTCCTCCTCCTCCTGGCCGGTCAGGAGCCCTCGAGCACACCACTGTCCTGGTCCTGGGGACGCTGCCCGGCTCCACGTCCTCAGAGCGAGGCCCGCAGCTGGCACAGATGCCTGGGGCCGGGCTGGGCGTGGGCCAAGGCACTGCGATGGCCTCTTCTGAGGGCGCGATCTGGGCTTCGGGGATGTGGCCGCCTTCGCACAGGGAGCCTGGTGGCCAACTGGGGTTTGGGGGACAGATGCAGCATCTTGGATTTTGACACGAGGTGGCCTTTGTGGTGAGCACTAATTTTATTTTTTATCTGGGGTTGAGTTACAGACAGATCTCCAGGCAGGTGCCCTGTATCACCCACATCCCTAGAAACGATGTGTGGCTCCATTTGGATGGATAAAAACTGTTCTTTTTAAAGAAAGGTTTTGTCTGGATCGAATTTGCGATCCCCATATTTTTTTTCCTATACTCGTTAGACAAATGGCAGCCTCTGGAACTCGTATGGCCACAAAACTGATAAAAATGAAAAGCAAATTTAAGAGTGCAGGTTAATTTTCAGAAGTGACTTTTTACAACTTGGATTATGAGCCAGAAAAGTAACTGCTTTTGTGTGCCTGTTCTTGACCAGGTATCAGAACCCACTAAAGATGGCATAATAAGTTCATTCATTTAATTTTTTTTTTTTCAAGACAGGGTCTCACTGTGTAGTTCAGGCTGGCTTTAAATTCACTGTGTAGCCAAGCTGGCCTCGATCCCAGGGCGGTCTTCCTGCCTCAGCCTCCTGAGTGCTGGCGTGATAGGCATGCACCACCACACCTAGCTTAATTTGTTTATTGTACAGAGGAGAAAACTACAATTCGGAGAAGTTAGTGAGTTTGCCCGAAGCCACACAGAGCCAGAATTCAAACCTGTGCCCACCACACTTGGCCACTTGTCCTCCTGGGACGGAGAAACCTCGCGGAACTTGGGGCGCTCTCCTAGCCCCTTGGAAGACTTGCTGTCTCGTTGTTCACGGA